TTGTAAATAGTGCTGCGATAAACATAGGGGTGCATCTGTCTTTTTCAGAGTGGGCTGCTGTATTCTTAGGGTAAATTCCTAGAAGTGGAATTCCTGCGTCAAATGGTATTTCTATTTTGAGCTTTTGAGGAACTTCCATACTGCTTTCCACAATGGTTGAACTAGTTTACATTCCCACCAGCAGTGTAGGAGGGTTCCCCTTTCTCCACAACCTTGCCAACATTTGTTGTCGTTTGTCTTTTGGATGGTGGCGATCCTTACTGGTGTGAGGTAATATCTCATTGTGGTTTTAATTTGCATTTCTCTGATGACTAGCGATGTGGAGCATCTTTTCATGTGTCTGTTGGCCATCTGAATTTCCTCTTTTGAGAACTGTCTGTTCAGCTCCTCTGCCCATGTTTTAATTGGATTATTTGCTTTTTGTTTGTTGAGGTACATGAGCTCTTTATGTATTTTGGATGTCAACCCCTTATCGGATCTGTCATTTATGAATATATTCTCCCATAGTGTAGGATGCCTTTTTGTTCTATTGATGGTGTCTTTTGCTGTACAGAAGGTTTTCAGTTTGATATAGTCCCACTTGTTCATTTTTGCTTTTGTTTCTCTTGCCCGGGGAGATATGTTCATGAAGAAGTAGCTCATGTTTATGTCCAAGAGATTTTTACCTATGTTTTTTTCTAAGAGTTTTATGGTTGAAGCTGTATATATTTTTAAAAGCTGGGGCAAATAAAGCATTGCCCAGTGAAACCTGAACCACCAATTCATCCATTCATCCTCACTGTCACACACACACACCTTTCCTGCACTGCTAGTCCCAGATTCTAGCACAACCCCCTGTCCCAAAGTCAATCCCTTTCTGCATAAGGACCCTTATCCCTGGATGACAGTGTGCTCCAAGTTTGGAAAAATCTTTTTGTGACCTGGTGCAGGGCACTGAGGACCATCTCTCTTTCTGAAAAAGATGGATTTTTCCCAAGAGAAGCAGCTGGTGTTCACCTGGGGTGGGTAGGAGGGCAGGAAGGAGGGTCCCAGGGCTGCATCTTCATCACACAATGGAAGTGGCTTCAGGGACAGCCAGAAAAATCTGTCCTTTGGGAAGGGCAGTGGGATGGGGGCTGTGCATGTGAGGAGGCAGCTGTGCAACCTGGAAGCCCAGAGGGGGTCCCCAGCCGTGCAGGGCAAAGTGCTGGTGAGGTGGCAGGCAGCTCTCTCTGATGGGGGCTGGAGGTGCTTCCTGACTGTGGTGGGTGGAGGGGCCCAGGAGGGAAGAGGGCTGCACCGCCAGTCATAGGGCGACTGGAATATTCCTGCCTCTTCCTGATTCTTCTGGGCCTTTTCCCATGCACCCATTAAACAGATATTTCCTAGCATCAACTGTGTGCCAGCCTCTGGCCTAGGCACTGGGAATACAACAGTGAACAGGTAGAGCTGGTCCATGCCCTCAGGGGGAGCTTACACTCTGGTTAGAAAGGCCAGCTGGATTGATGTGGGTAGCTGAAATTGAGTGCTGCCTACTCTGTGTCAGGTGCTACAGAAGCTCTTGAATTGCATTTCCTCATCAAATCCTCACAAAAGCCCTATTAAGCAGCAATGATCCTATTTTACAAATGAGGAAACTGAGGTTGAGAGGTTAAGTAACTTGCCCAAGGTTCCTCCAGCAAAAGCCCTGATCACCCGCCCAGATCCAGGTCATTCAAGCCTTGTAGTGCTCCCAGCTAC